TGAATTTTTCTATTGAAATTTTAGAAATACTCAAAAAAAATTACAAGTTTCCTCAATAATATTCAAATAAAAAACATTCATTAAAAATTATTTAAGAATTTTAAAAAGTTTCATATTTGCAAAAAAGTATTGTTGAATAAAAATAATACTCATGTTTCCAGAAAATATTTTTGAATTAAAAAATATTCTCTAAATTTGTTGCTCACAAATTTAGAAAATTGTAGTTTAGAGAATCTTATTGGATTAAATGGAATAAAAAATAATATCTAACATCTAAATGGAAACCACAAAAAACATATGAAAAGAGAAAAAGAGAAGAAAAGGAACCTGCATCCAACCATTAGCCCTTCGCAAAAACACACAAAAAAAAGGAGCTCCTATATAACACGTTTTACATCAAATAGGACCCCGACGTTGGCGGAGCTTAGGCAAGGCCGAATGAGTCATGGCCCGCCCAGCTCGGAGCTTCTCCTCCTATTATATTCAGCCCATGGGTCATAAAATGCCAGCTACTAGCAATTCTTAGCCTGGCCCGCCCAACCTTTTTGTGCAAGCTCCGCCACTGCCGACGTAGTCCATTTACTCTTTTTTTCTAGAGAAGGCCATCATGGCTAACATTATTAAAACTCTAGTGCGTACTATGTAGCAGCGCGGTATCTCCAGCGAACCAGTTACTATAGCGGCCTTGCATTGGAGTGCCTTTGTTTTTAGTCAGTGTTTTAAAATTTTCAATATATTTTGTGAAAGCATGAATATATTTTATTTTTATCAAAATTGAATAATTATTCAAAACTTGAACATGTTCCAAAACATTCACATGTTTGAAAATTCCTAAACACTTTTTCAAACACAAATATTTTATAATTTCAGGAAGAAATATTAAAAAGGGGAACATCTTTTAAAAAAAGATTTTTAGAAACACGAACATTTGTTGAATTTTTTGTTTTTTTCTGGAATCGGGAATATTTTTGAAATTTCGTTTTTTGAGAAACATGAACATTTTGACATTACAGAACATTTTTTAAAAATTACGAATTTCTTTTGAAATTCCAAAGTTTTTAAGGAAATCCATGAATATTTTGTAAAAGATTTTTTCGAAAATAGAAAGGAAATAGAAAAAACTGAAAAGGAAGAAAGAAAAATACAAAACAAACTAGAGAAAATATGTTCAGGATCCTTCTGAAGGTTCCCAAAACCGGTTGGCTGCCACTATGCAATACGCTCAAAGTGGGTCAGCCCATCTCGATAACCCCGACAATTGGACGGACTGAGCGTCTAATAGGGAATTACAAAGAAACTAGAAAATCCCATCTGTCGCTAACTGTGGCAGATTGTCGACCCCACCTGCACTTCGAGCCAGGAGAGCGCAGTGGGTGGACCAACCCCTTCTTGTGTAGTGTAGTGCACAATTTCTACAGGTTTCGGGAACCTTCTAGAATATTCAGAACCGGTTTTTTCTGTTGTTTTTTCTTAAATAGTTTTCTTTTCTGGTTTTAATTTTTCTTTTTAATTTTTTGTACTCCTTATTTTCTTCCCTTTCTCTTTCTCAAAATAAAAAATATTCAGAAAATTCAAAAACAGTTCATTTTAAAAAATATATCGAATTTTGTTAGCATTTTTTAAACAATATTCAATTTTTTAAAACTTTTCATACTTCTAAAAGTAATTTATGAATATGCTTGAAAAAAAATGTTTGCGCTTCACATATTTTTTTGTAATTTCACAAAATGTTAAAAAATACAAAAGGTGTTGACATTTTAAAGAAATGTTTGTGTTTTCAAAACATGTTTAAAAATTGTATGTGCTTTTCAAAAAATGTTTACAGTTTAAAATTTTGTTCGTGCTTTAAAAAAATTGTTCATATTTTTCTAAAAAAATAGAAAAAGTCAACTAGAAAACCAGTTTGCTATAGTGAACCGGATGACTATAGTAAACAGTCTCGATAAATTAGCTCCGTTGCTACTATCGATGGACCACTATAGTAGCCTAGTCGGAGGAATTTCCTGTGTGTCGTGAGTTTCTTTGACGCAAAATGCATCAGATAGGAGGTCTTGAAGAAACCCATATGGAAACCAATAACACTTTGCGTGTACTGGGTCAGCCCCAATTTCTACGCAGAGTTTTCCTGTTATTTTGACACCACAAGTCTGAGATAGCATTTGCTAGTTCTCAAGGGATTCAGTAATCAGCGCTTACGGCTACTCAAGCGGGCGTTCGTGGGTGTGCCCCGGCGCTACCACATGTCGTACGCAGGGCGCACCCGCAAGAATGTGTTTTCCCTGCTAACCCGGGGGTATTTTAATTTTTTTGCTAGGTTCAAGAGATAACATTTAAAAAATGAATGTATGAAAATATATATGAACTCTGATCACTGAAGAAGGTGGTAGTAACTTTGCAAAAGGTACCTCTTAATTAATGATTTTAAGTTCTCAAACAATACTATGTACTTTTGCTGGTGGAGGACGTGGTGTTCCTCATTTGTGGACGCGCGACTGGGTGCCTCTATATCACGCCTTCAGCAATATATATAAGTAATATTAAAAAAGACACTTTACAACAAACATTTGGAAAATGTTGAAAAAGTATTTAAAAAATGCTAAACAAGCATTCAGAAAATGTTGAACAAGTATTTGAAAAAAAATAAGTATTTAGAAAATATTGAAGAAGTATTTGAAAAGTGTTGAACAAGTATTTTAAAAAATTTAATCAAGAATTTGGAAAATGTTGAACCCCGGTTTCACTCTTTTGTACTCCAACTTTTCTTTTATTAAGTGGGCCAGCCCAGTTGCTACAGGAAACAGAAAAATCTTTCAGCGATAACTGCTACCATCTCGCTTAATATGAGACAAAGTTCTTGCGTGCCCGCCGCCCTTCTTTTTACAGGCCGACCCATCATTTGCTTTCGCTTTGAGGCGGCGGGCTTGCCGTGTCGCCAAGTTGATCTTTCACGAGGCCACCTTCTTCGGATCCTTCACCGCAAATGTTTGGACGGGTCCATGTGGCGGCGAAAGCGAAATGCGTGGAAATTAGGATGGAGGGCGGCGACGATCGAAGCAGAGAGCGTGTGGAAGGTGGGGTTTTCTGGGGAAACGGTATGGACCGCCCCAAATGCACGGAACAGATGTGTCGTAGTCATACGTGGCCGAGGTTCTAACTCCTGCAAAGCAGCCTTGGTTTGCTTATGGTTTAAGGGAAAGCGGACCTGAGAAATTTAGGCCCATTTTGGGTGGCTTGCAGCGTCCGGACAATTCGGTCCAAACTTTTACGAGCGTTTTGAGAGTTTGTATTGGAGATGCCCCGAGGCCATGCCTATAAACCACTTGGAGAAAACACCTAGCATTAGACAGAACTCTTGCATATCCTATACCTCTTTGAAACTCTAGTTCTTAAACCACTTGGAGATTACGTTTCACTTTTCTTTCTCCTAAGAAAGAAAAGGCGATCTAGCTTCTGCCGCTAGCAGACTTGCCTCCGCCGCCGGCCTCCCGCGACTTCCCTTCGCA